AGGTTCTACGCACAAATCCCAAACCTAAGAACTATAAAGACCAAGATTGAAGGCACAGATCTGGGGCAGATACAAAAAAGAGAAAACAAAGACGAAGTTTCAGATTCCAGAACAGAGGTATAGCTCTCAGAAACGATAAAGATACAAAAAAAAAAATCAAGAACAGCGGCAAAGAGAATGGTGAAAAAGCATAGAAGTTCAAGGCGTAGCCACAAATTCAAGATACAAATAAAACCAAGACCTCGAACAAGATCAGTAATAGCAGCAGACAGAGAAAAGCACATAAAGAGAATGAAAGAAATAAAGGAAAGGGTCTTACCAGGACAAATGAAGCCGAGGCAATGCTCGCCAAACCCAGAAACCGGTTGCAACAGCAAAGAGGGCTTTACAAGAATGAGGGATTAAGAGCAGTTCCAGAAGAGAGATTGAAGCAATGGAGGATTCGAAGAAGAAAAAGCTTTCAGAGAGAGAAAGAACAAGAAGACAGAATGAAAAAGTGAAGGAAAAGAAGAGGCAAAAAAGAGTTTTGTCAAAAATTTGAAACGGCGGCAAAAATAGGGCAATCATTACGCCTAGGGTAACGCACGCGTCAGACGGCGCAGACGAACGAACAGACGGCTTTCAGGCGCGTCACTGACACGCTCCAATGAATACAGAACACGTGAAAAGAACAGTTTGATATGCATGACAGCTCATGCGCGTGGGAGAATACGACCGAAGCCTTGTTCTCCGAAGAGAACACGTCGGCTGAAAGTAGATAATCTTGTTTAGAATACATACTCTCAAAAATGAGTGTATTATATACAAATTACAACATTTGTAGTGTTAATTACTACAAATTTTATAACTAAATCATTTTTAATCATGGCAAAATAGTAACTGTGGGGATATATTTTCTGTATACCAACACGTGGCATGGTGACGCCGACGTGTCAGCCGAGGTGCCACGTGCCCTGGTAGTTAAGCCGAGGTAATTTCGGAGAAGCCGAGGTCATCTCTGAAGATATCGGAATCCGAGATAAGGGACAAGAGTCCTAAGGCAAAAGGGGGACTTAACCAAGATAAGGATAAAACTCTTAGGGAGTTTATCTTTATCTCATAAAGAGTCCAGAGTAAACAGTACAATAGAGTTAATAGAAGTCATACTTCTAGAGGGATTTGGATTGAGCATATTATAAAAGAGAGGCACCCCCGTGGGTCTAAGGTATGCAATTTATGTTTTAAGTATTCAGTCTAGCACTTGATTTATCTTTGAGAGATATACTGACTTGATCGTCGGAGTGCCCCCGGGTGGAAGAACCACCGCCGGAGCTTTTTCTTTCTGTTACAGGTTGCCAAAGCCATCTATTCTGCCTGTGCTTTCCAGCTGATTACTAAACGGGCAGTGTAGTCAGATTTTCACCCACACATTTATTATTTTATTTTATTATTACTTGTAGTGAAGTGTTATTATTTAAATTATCTAATTTTACTTCTTCCATATATCTAATATTCATATAATTTTATTGACAAGACTAATAAACTAGATTCTAAAACTAATTTAAACACACAACGAAATAAAATACTTTTTTAAGAAAAAAATTAAGATTTTTCTGTAAAGAAATCTTAATTAGGTAAGGTGTTATCTAACATTAATTCTAGATAGATTATTTCTTTTTAAGTATTTTATCAATGAAAATTAAATTTTGTAAAATTAAATATTTTAATAATATCTTAATAATTTAGGGATAAATAGTTTTCTTACATATGAATAAATAAGTAGGGAAAATTGCTAGGAAAAAAAATTAATCCATTTGTTTCAACTTAAAAAAAGAAAAGAAAAAAAATTAAATAATAAATCCATTAATTAAAATGACAAATTTCTCCTTGTTTGTACAATGTGAAACAAATCTTATAAGTATTATATTAATTATTAGGATATTATATTAAATTATTAGGGTGTTATGTTAAAATATGCATGGATCTTTAATAATATATATACAAAATCTCAAAGGAGGTGAGTGAAAATTTTCATTTAAATAGCTTCTTGATTGATTTGGTAATTTTCTTCACTTCAAACTCAATTGAAAGAGTAATATGGCAATTTTGGATAGCCAAGTGTCGTTTTTGCTAAATTAATGGATTGGGAGAATTTTAAAATTGTCAGAAAAAGTAGAAGAGATTTCAATAATCATTAAAACCGTAGAAGAGGTCCCTACATTTGTCAGAAGCCTCAAGAGAGATAAATGTAATTTATCCATAATTCTAACATGATATTAGACTAGTTCAAATGAATCCTGGTTTGAACTCTCATTGTTACCTTTGTCATTGTGTTTTCTTCTCTCTTAAGTCTCAACAATTTCTCCCAATATTTTGTTTTTATTTTAAATTTAATTAATTTGAATTAATTTTGTCAATGTAATTAGAAATCTATGTAATTTATAAAATATTATGTGAATGTGAATGTGAATGTTAATAGGTTGTATATGTTGATTTTTTTTTTTTTTTTTTAATTAGCAATCCCGTTTGACAAAATTTCATTCAAATGTAATTGCATTCACTCTTTTGAATCTATGAGTTTGTGGTAGTTTAGATGTGAATCCAACAAAATTTGTGCCTGAGTAGAGAAATTTGTACTGAAGGAAATGTGTGCTTGAGCATATATGCTATTGAGCCTGTTAAACTTCTTGGACTGCTCGAGCGATCAAGTGTGTGCTCAAGCACTATTTTGGATCATCTAGTATCTTAGTCTAATTTTAGAGATATTGAGAGTTGTATTTTACTGCTAAAGGAAAGTGACATGTGGAATTTTGTTAGCACCGCCTTACTAGTCTCACCGTTCGAGCAATCATTCTTGCGCTTGATCAGTTTTTGCGTCGCTGTTTGTTATAAAGTGCCTCAGTTTCTCATTTTAGGGTTTAACCCGTCCAGAATTCTCTTTGAAGAGATAAGGTTGATTGTTTTATATTGGGAGGTGTTTCATAGTGTGTTTACCTTGATGGATTGAGATTGATCACTGAATCAACAAGTACATTATTAAAGATCATCAAGGGATTTCTTTCATTCAAATTTATTCATTGAGAGACGTTCATCGATGGATTTCAGGGAACTTGAGCTTAAAACTTTGATGGATTTCGAAGTAGCTCATCATCGTGAATTCGACATCTGTGTTTTGGATTCAATATTGGGCAAAACAATTCAAAGGTGAAGATGTTGGTGGAAGAGGCACAACGGATTGGGTTCAATTTAGGCATGGATTCATTAGGTAATTGAGGATTCTCTTGTGTAATTCATTTGTTTTCTTAGTGGATTGTTTTGTGGTTTTGACCCTTGATTTTTCATCGCAATTGGCTCCAATTGTAGTTTTTTTCCATGTTATATCGTTGTATCGATTTGTCGTTGTTCGTTTATAGATATAATTCAATTTGTTAGGTTTTTGTAAATGACAATCCCGTTTGACAAAACTCCTTTAAGTTATAATTTTATTCGCTATTTTGTTTCAATGAAGATGTAAGTGTTTAGATGTGAATCCAACGAAAATTGTGCCTATGTAAAGAAGTGTGTGATATTGAAATTTTCATGTTTTACAACTTCACTAACTATGTATAGGGATTGAGCGATCGTTTGTGTGCTCGAGCGGTAAATAGCAGCATCCAGTATTTCTGCATGCAAACTAAACTTCTAGGAAGTAAGTTTCACTGTTCGAGTGGTGGATGTTGCGCTTGAGTAATCGACCTATATGTTTTTGGACTGCCTTTACTCACATCGCTCGAGCGGTCTTCGCAATCTTGTTTATTATAAAGTGCGTTGTTTGCTGTTTTTAGGGTTTAAGTCATTCAAATTTTAAGAGAGCAGAGCTATCAATGTTTTCTATATTGGAGGCTATTTTTATAAGTGTTTCCTTGATGATTTGAGAGTGATCGGTTGATCTACGAGTTTCATATTGACATCATTAAGAAGTTTGTCTTTATTCTTTTATTTACAAAGAGAGATGTGTTCTTTAGTGGATTCTAGGAAATTTGGGCCTGAAACTTTGGTGAATTACGGAGTGGCTCATCATCATGGATTCGATATTAGCATTGTGGATTCAACATTAGGCATGACAATTTTGTGATGAAGACGGTGGTAGAAGAGGCACATTGGGATTGGTTCAATTCAGACATGTATTTGCCAGGTAATTGAGGGTACACATGTGTAATTCTTTTATATATTCTTAATAGATTATTTTGTGATTTTGGCCTGTGATTTTTTTTATCACAATTGCAGGCACTCCAATTGTAATTTTTTTCACGTTAAATCGTTGTGTTGATTTGTTATTGATTGTTTAATTGTGATTGGTATTCACTATTTAAAATTAAAACATAATCACGAATTAATATATGGAGCATTTTAGATTTTTCAAAATTCTTATTTAATTGGATTAGATTTATGATTTTTTACTTGAGAATTAATATTCATCACTAAAATTCTAATTGCGAATCACTATCTTGGATTTTTAAGTTTTTGAGTATAGAACTAAAAATATAAAATAATATTGATAATGACTTGTTGAATGAACTCGTTGATTGAAGTTCTTAGCTACGCTCTTAGCTACGCTCTTATTTAAGATGTGAAATTTATTATAAATTAACAATTACATATATGAAAAATATTATATAAATTAGTGTTATATATTATTATACAAATACTTGATAATTGTTTAAAAATATTTTCCAATCAACTAACAAATTAAAACTATCCCAAATCACAGTTTAATAATTCACCATTTAAAATTTAATTTATAATTTTATCTCATATTCAAACCGCATTACACCTAATCCCTAAACATTAGATTTTATATTTGATTTAACAATTGAGAAACAAAAGGCCACGTCACGTGCCACCAATAAAGCATATGAAATGCTCTCACTCTGACGTGAACATTAAGAATGATGATTCAACTTTCCAACTTTGTTTGTATCCTCATAGCACGGCCATGCACCACCTCTCTCCTCCACCACACCCTTATATAAGCCCAAATTTTTCACAACAAATCAAAACCAAAAAACATGAAGATTCACACTTCCCTCAGATGGGCAATTCTCACCCTACCCATCTTGATCTCTTTCAAATTCAATCACTCTCATGCAAAACAAACACAACCCATCTCAGAATCGCCAAGATTTCATCAATGGACTCACCACCACCTCCACACACATCTCCAACAACAAACCCTACTCAAATTCTCATCCCCTTTTTTGATTTCAGGACTCCTCTGTTTCATAGCTGCCTCAATCTCAAGTGCTGGTGGTGTTGGTGGTGGTGGGTTGTTCATACCCATCTTAACCATAGTGGCTGGTTTAGACCTCAAAACAGCCTCAAGTTTCTCTGCTTTCATGGTCACAGGTGGTTCAATTGCCAATGTCATGTGCCAAATGGTCATGTCATGCCCTAAGTTTGGTGGCAAGGCTTTGATTGACTATGACATAGCTCTTCTTTCTGAGCCATGCATGTTGCTTGGGGTGAGTATTGGGGTGATCTGTAATCTTGTGTTCCCAGAATGGCTCATCACCATACTTTTTGCTGTTTTTCTTGCTTGGTCTACATCCAAGACATGTAAATCTGGGGTTATGTTTTGGAAATCGGAATCAGAGGAGGGGAAGAGAAATGGGTTTGGGAAATTGGAAAATGGGTTGGTGAGAGAAGGTGAGATTTGTGATGGGAATGAAGTGACCAAACAGCCCCTTCTGGGTGAGGGATTGGAAAACTGTAAATTGGGGATTCCATGGAGGAAATTGGGAGTGTTGATTTTGGTATGGTTTTCTTTCTTTGCTCTGTATCTTCTCCGCGGAGATCGGTTTGGACAGGTATGGCTTTGATATCTTCATATAGACACAGAATTCGTACACAAAAAAATATTCAGAAAATTTAATGTGTGGTATAGATTTATTTTGCTGGAATTGAATCTGATTCATACATTATTTTTCCGAGTGTATTTGTGTATATGAATTATACATATCTTTACTATTTTGCTATGTTTATTGTGTTATCTCCGATTTCTTGATTAATCACCTTCACAATGATGGGAAAAAGTAATCACTGCCTAGAATTTAATGAGAAGTGATTTTGATGTTTCCTTTTTGCTTTGATACGTGGATGTTTGTTTTTTGGCGATTTACGTGTATGATTTAGGCTTATTTTGACAACATAGTTTTTAGTCATTTTTTTTGGTTAGTAGCAAAAGTCAAAAATTGATTTTTTTGGCTTTTCTTTCATTTGGAAAGTTGGTTTTTAGCCAACGGTAAAATTACAATTTTACCCCTCATGGGTCAAAATGTGTTACATAGGTGAAATTATAAATATTTTAAATAAATGGGGGTAGTTTAGTCATTTTATTATGATTTGACATCATAAACAAATATTAATCAAAAAAGTCAAAAGTCACAAGTCACTTTTTATCAACTTCCCAAATCATTTGTCTAAAAAAGCCAAAAACTTGATTAAAAGCCAAAAAGTTACTTTTTACCATCTTCCCAAAATATATTATACGGTTTTAGGTTTGAGTTTAGATTTTATATAGAATAAGAGAAGATACTATGGGGGAGGATGTATAATAAAAATATAGACTATTTGTATACGGTCCGGATCGGTTCCAATCCGGAACCGTGGAGTTCAATCCGGAACCAATCCGTGGACTATGGATTTTTAATTCTTCAATCTGGAACCGAACCGCAGATTCAAAAAACCAATCCAAACCTATCGGATTGGACTGGATTGGATCGGATTACGAATTTCACGGATTCCTTGCTCAGCCCTAATTAATCACCTTCACAATGATGGGAAAAAGTAATCACTGCCTAGAATTTAATGAGAAGTGATTTTGATGTTTCCTTTTTGCTTTGATACGTGGATGTTTGTTTTTTGGCGATTTACGTGTATGATTTAGGCTTATTTTGGCAACATAGTTTTTAGTCACTTTTTTTGGTTAGTAGCAAAAGTTAAAAGTTAGTTTTTTTGGCTTTTTAGCCAACGGTGAAATTACAATTTTACCCCTCATGGGTCAAAATGTGTTACATAGATGAAATTGTAAATATTTTAAATAAATGGGGTAGTTTAGTCATTTTATTATGATTTGACATCATAAACAAATATTAATCAAAAAAGTCAAAAGTCACTTTTACCAACTTCCCAAATCATTTGTCTAAAAAAGCCAAAAACTTGATTAAAAGCCAAAAAGTCACTTTTTACCATCTTCCCAAAATAAGCCTTAATAAGTAGACTTATGGACGACTTATGTGCCGGTCTTAATAAGATAATTTATTATTTAATAGGACTTATGATAATTAATGGCGTTTTTATTAAATATTATTAAAAAAATCACTAATTATTAATTTTCAGCGATAATTTAAAAATTTTGTTATAAAAAAATGTCACTAATTATAAGTTTTAGCGACAATTTAAAAAAATCGTCACAAAAAAGTCACTAATTTTTCACTTTCAATGACAATTTGAAAAATTTGTCATCGAAAAATACAATAATTGTAAGTTTTAGCAACAAATTATAAAAATCATAACAAAAAAAAGTCATAATTGTCAATTTTTAGCGACATTTGTAAAAAAATGTACAATTTTTTTTTAGCGACGATTTTATTAAAATTTATTTTTAATAAGATCTGATGAGAATTAAATTTAACTATTATAACATATTAGTAATTTTTCCCTCCATTTTTTTTTTTCTCTCTAATTTATCTTACACTCTCTACATAGAGGACTTAAAGGTAAATCCGACACCCCCCCCTCGTCTTCCCCCCCCCCCCCCTCCTTTTTGTTTTTTGTCTCTCTCTAATTTATTAAAGTTATCGTTGACATGGACTCTTGGTTTATCTAACACTATCTACATAGAGGACTTGAGGTAAATCTGGACCACATCAAATTGATTCGTCACTGTCTATGTAGGAAAAGGAAATTTCCATATAATGACATAGTTCAATGGAATTCTAAACTCGAAAATCAGCTATAGGCTGGGATGGCTGGAGATGCTATGTTTCCAAATACTTCCCATCACACGATGTGGTGGAAATCTGAAGATATAATCCTATAATTAGGGGTGTATACGGTACGATTCGGACAGTTTAAGAGTAAAATTACAAACTGAATGACAGGTTAACGGATTGACAAATTGCGGTTTGGATAATTTTAGGCTGAAGAATATTCTAACTAATTATCAAACATTTACATAATATATAATACTAACTTGTATAATATTTTTTAGATATATAACACAAAGTAATTTGAAAAAATTACCAAGAAGTCTCCTTTGAAAAACGTGTAATCTATTTAGTCCAAAAACTTCTTGTTTGTATCCAAAAGTCCAATAACGTTATTCTTCTGCTTTGCCTTTCTTCTTCTTCTCTTTGTGATTTCCAGCAATCGTTGACGGGTAACCATATTTTACTTCTTCTCTTTCTCTTTCTGATATATAGTCATCGGCGGCCAATGACTACCATCGATTGGGATTCACCGGCAACCACTAACCGCCGACTCCTTACCTCACCAACGGTAAAGAAGATAAGTTTCCGACGAAGAAGATGAGTAAATCTACTTAAATCTGGAGTAGATCTACTCAGATCTGAGTAGATCTACATCAAATCTAACTATATCTAAACAAAAAATAGTTGCCGGAGTACAATCATCTCTCTATATTCGCCTCTCTCCTTCGCTCTCTTATTTTTTTTATATTTTCTTTACTATACACTTCTCTTTTTCTGTTCTAATGGAAAAAAATTTCAAATTCTGAACAAGTAGTTTTTGAGTTTTAGTTACAGGGGATGAAAACTGTAAAATTTTGCAGTTTCAAATTTTTTTTGGTGCTGCAATGAATCATGGTTTAAAACTGTAAAATTTTACAGTTTCAAATTTTTTTGGTACTGGAATGAATAATGGTATAAAACTGTAAAATTTTGTAGTTTCATAACATTCTTTAGAACTGTAAAATTTCACAGTTTCATAACATGTTTTTCAGTTTGATTAATAAGGATAAATGCTTAATAAATTTTTGCTTTGATACTGTAACATTTTACAATTTCAAAACTTATTTTTCAGTTTGATTAATATTGGAGATTATTTGCTTAAACTTTACAAAAATTGAAAAATAGCATATGTTTTTCCTATTATTGCTGTTTTTTGTGGTTTCATTTTTTTTTCTTGTAGTTTATCAATATTTAGCACATTTTACTATGTTTTTTCACTCTAATTTCTCCATTTATTCTTTTTTTTTTCCTGGCAATATTCTAGACATTCCGGTGAGTCTCTAGTGATGTTCTTAACGTCCAGTGAACGTTCTGAACATTCTGACGACTTCCATTAACGTTCATAACACTCCGATGAACTTCTGGCGAAAATCCGGCGACTTCCCGGTGATGTTGAACATTCCGACGAGTCTCCGGCGACTGTTTGACGGAAGTCCGACGGTAGTAAGATATAACAGTGTCTGTAAATTAAAAAAAAAAGATTTTTTGGGAACAATTAAAAATATATAGGACTAATTGGTACAAGTGTTTTGTTTGAGGATTGGATGTGTCTTGAACTTTGTACATGGGACTTATCAGTAAGTTCCCCAAGTAATTTTATATAACATGCTTCATATATATAATCACTAATTTGTAATAAATTTCATATTTTAAATCTCTCTCATACTCATTTTTATAATGATATTTTATTAAAAATTAAAAAATATATATGTATTAATTATAACGGAGTAGAACGGTTCGGTTGACGGATTATAAATTTTAAAGTTTAAACCGTAGTTAGAACGGTGCAATTTTAGTTGATTGGGCATTATTTTGTACAACCCTACCTACAACTGAAAATCCACCGGAACCAAGAGATTTAGAAATGATCTTACAAGTGAAAATGCATTGGGATAAAGAGATTTGGAGACAAATGATCTCCTGGTGACTGGAATGGACAAGTTTTATTGTTGCCATCATGATGACATATGTGATTCCGTCTACATAATTGAGAGCTTTATTAACTTCCATTTATCAAATATTTAAATGGTTAAACTTATCTTGGGAATTTTTAATGCGTGGCATAGAGTACTCCTACACAATTTTTTTTTTTTTTTATTATCAAAGTTATCCTTGACAAGGACTCTTGGTTTATCTAACAAGAAGTCTCAAGTTGTATGTACATAGAGGACTTAAGGTAAATCTGAACCACATCAAATTGATTTGTCACTGTCTATATAGGAAAAGGAAATTTCCATATAATGACGTAGTTCAATGGAATTCTATACTCGCTATAGGCTGGGATGGCCGAAGATGCTCTATTTTCAAATACTTCTCGTCACACGATGTGATGGAAATCTCGAGATATAATCCTACAACTGAAAATCTATTGGAACTGAGAGATTTAGAGATGATCTTACAACGGAAAATGCATTGGGACAATGAGATTTGGAGACAAATGATCTCCTGGGGACCGGAATGGACTAGTTTTATTGTTGCCATAGTGATGGCATATGTGATTCCATCTACATAATTGAGAGATTTATTAACTTCCATTTATCAAAATATTTAATTGGTTAGCAATCAGAAAAGTTAAAAGGATTGTATATTGTTTATTACATGTATAATATTTTTAAGGGCATACGCTAACAAAATTCAAATATATATAATCATCATCATTGTTGAAAGGTTAGCTACCTTTGTAGTTTCCATCTTTAAAGTTCTTGAAAACAAATCTCCTATTTTATTTACCATAGTTATTTCTTGTAATCAGATGGTACCTGTGGTATTATTGTGACTTCTGAAAAATGGATGCAGAGTATAATACCAATAGAGCCTTGTGGAATGGGATATTGGATTCTCTCAGCATTGCAAATTCCTCTTGCTATAATTTTTACTACTTGGATATTGCACGGAAGAGAAAGCCCCCAAGATCAAACTTTCTACCAACAGGTGCTTACTGAAAACACATAATTTCAATCACTTGTTTGTCTTACATATAAACAAATGTGAAATTTCTAAACCCCTGTTAAATGCTCGAGTTTTTCATGATAGGAAGGAGGCCAAAGTAAAAGTGGGCCATCGAACAAGCTCATTTTCCCGGTAATGGCTATGTTTGCAGGGATTTTGGGTGGAGTTTTCGGAATTGGTGGTGGAATGCTCATAAGCCCACTTCTTCTTCAAGTTGGAATAGCACCAGAAGTGAGTTAATCTGGTCTTCTGCAAAAGTTAGTATACATATACAAAATTAAATTATAGAAACATGCTAAGGACGTCTAATGTCAGCATGATCTGTTCACCTGAGGTATCCTCATACGCTCGTATATCTATATCCTCATTATTTTCACAAGATGTGAGTTCCATCATACTAACATATACATTCTTAATACTTTTCTCTAATATTAACTCCCCTGAAGTTTCAACTATGCCTCCCAAAATACTTTATACCTCTTCTTTCCTTTTCTTTTTCTTTTCAACAAAATCCTTACAATCTTCTATTATAAATGTTTTATTTTGCTAAAACCTTCTCTTATGAATTTTATATTATTTCTCTCTCATGTCTTCTCCACCCCTTCTCTATCTCTTTTTCAAGTGTATATTGGTGTAATTTTGTTTGTCCTTCTCAATTTTAATGGAGGCATGCAATCACATTTTGAATTGTGATGATCATCATGTTCAAAAACTAATTGAAAATCATTGGGGGGAAAAAAGAAAGAGAAAATACCCTATAACTCAAACACAAAACATATAATTTTGGCATCACACTGATCTTTGGCCATCCTATTGGAAAATGAAAATTGGATTCAGTTAATTTGTGATTGATATCACTAAAGATGGAATTCAATTAATGTTGTCGTGAATCAAAATCCTGGCTCTGTCACTGCATTTAACCATTGACAACCACATATTCTTGTCATGGTGCAGGTAACAGCAGCAACTACTTCATTCATGGTGTTCTTCTCATCAACCATGTCTGCAATGCAGTACTTGCTGCTAGGCATGGATCACACATATGGTGCCATTGGCTTCACCTTGGTTTGTTTTGTTGCGTCACTTGTCGGTTTGATGGTACTGCAGAGAGCTATGGAATTGTATGGAAGGGCCTCCCTCATTGTGTTCTCAGTTGGTACTGTGATGGCTCTGAGTACTATTCTAATGACAAGCTTTGGAGCCCTTGATGTTTGGAGTGACTATACAAATGGGGAATACATGGGATTCAAATTGCCTTGCTGAAATAAAATTAAATGCTTTCTTGGTAATCAGGTTTTGAAACCTAATGTCCTAATGAAGTTTTGAGTTAGAAATTTGGATTTTAGAGGTGTCATGCATCAAAGAGACACAGGAGAGATGTTGTAGGGAGATCTGTGCATTTTCTTCTCTTTTTTTTCATAGAATTGTGCATTTTTGGGGAAATTGTTTTATAATCCTGAAATAACATATTGCCTACATGGTCATTCTTAGCCGATGAAAAATCACAACATACACTGGGTGTTTGGCATATACTTAAAAAAGTTCAAATTTTTTTTAACAATATTTTTTTTTAAATTATGTCAATTTTTTTTTTTACTTTTCCAATTGGTCATTTGTAAAAAAGAAAGGGCAAAACAGCAACCAAAAAAAAAAAAAGCCAACTATTTTTTACTTTTTTTTTGTTTGTTATTTTTGGATTTTTTTTTTTTTCATTTTTCTTTTAACTTTTTCAATCCATCTAGTCTTGTAGAACTCAAAATCTTAAAGTTTTTTTTTTTTTAAAGTTCAGTTTTTTTTAAGTTCAGTAAAAAAAATTTTTAAAAAAAAAAAAGAAAAAAGAAAAACAAACAAACAAAAAAGTTATTAAAAAAGCAAAGGGCACTTATCAATCAGTCTTATACATATTTATTTATAGGTCCTCACTGATAAACTTATTAATAAGACATAATAAATCTAAAAAATAAGACTTATTGATAATTTTTTTTCTCGTAGTACCTAACAAAGGGGAGTAATTCACTATATTTCATCTATAAAAAAATTGTTACCCGATTAGTTTGAAATACACATTGGTTTGGAATAATTACGTCCATTTTATGGCAGGGATATATTACACTCATAATTAATATGCATTTAGAAAGGGATGGGATTGTCTTCCGTTTTCATGAGAGATTCTGTTGGGATAGATTCATTTCAAAGTTAATTTCGTTAATTCGTATCGTTCATTTTGTATTATGTTAAAAAAATAAATAATTAAAATAATTAGATATCAGTAATCATTGAAGTTTTATTTTTCTTTTTAGTATTAATTGAACATGAACATATTACAAATTTCAAATAGTTCTTATGAGGAGAAAAATAGTAAAAATAACAGAAGATTACAAATTTATGGTGAAACATAATATTACAACCATCAAAGACATGTGGAGTTTAAAAAAAAAAAAAAAAAAAAAAAAAAAAAAAAAAAAATCATGCATGGGGAGCTTGGGGATTCATCTTTCTTTTATCTTCACGAGCATAGGCTGAGGCAGAGAGATAATAGGCAACCATGAAGATTCCATGAATGAAGCACACAATTCCTCCTATTGACAGAAGACGATGATGTGCCAGCGCACATGTTTTTCTCGACCTCAAATTTGCGAGTGTCCCTATGATCAACATTGTGGATGCCATTGCTAATATAATCCTAATTGTCCATCACCAAAAGGTAATAATGTCATTTTCTAATCATCCAATAATTTGGTTATATTTCACTATTTTATTAGGGGGTCGTTATTCCAACTCTACTTTACTCCAAATACACTTCATTATTTGTCTTTATTAAAGACAATTACATTAATTCTCTTTTACACAAAATATATTCTTAAAAAAATCAAAATTCTAATAGTATTAATATAACTATGTATAATAATGACAAATAAGAGAGTGTATTTAGAGTAAAGTGGAGTGGGAATAGCAATTCCCGTTTATTAAAAGGGATAGGATTGTCTTTAGTCCACGTCTATTGGCCCTATGAGACCTGAGTCCAATTTCTACAATTGGAATCGTTTATTTTGTCAAGTTTTATGCATAGATCATTTATAGGGGAAAAAAATTATTAATCTTATAATCACTACTATATAGTGATTATATATATATATTTTTTAAAAAATGAATGGCTTACTTTGAAAATGAAAATTATTATTTTTCATTTTTGATGATAATTATAATAAAATAATGTGTCTACAATTATTGAATCAATTTGATTTAAATTTTTTTTAATAAATAATCTACACATAAGACCTTATAAAATAAATAATTTGAATTATTAAAACGAGATTTATGGTGAGTTCTACAGTGTTGAACAATACTCATTAAGAGAAACCTCACCCTTACTAAAAATAAGGGTAAAAATACAACAGGAATGTTTGGTTTGTCTCTCAAAGCATATTTTTGAAGAAAAAATTCTAAAAATATGTTTCGTTGAAAATTTATAATAAAAAAAATTTCAAAATCGATTTTCTCTCTGTTACACATCAATCAATCATTTTTTCTCTCTCATCTCTCATTCTTAATATCTCGAAACACAAACCAAATAAGGCCAACAAATCTTATAGTTTTAACATAATTTCATTCATTTCATTTTACTAAGATTAAAGAAACCATATTTAATGTAAATATTGTGAAGACACAACGATGAGCCCTAAGATTCGTAGGGGTGAGAAATAAACCAAACAGCTTGAATTCGACTCGTGTTTAGCTTTTTAAAAACTTGTTTGAACTCAATTCATTAAGTAAACAAATCAATCTTGAATATATTTTGAAACCAAGCTTGAACAATTAGGTGGGGTTTGTTTTGAGGGATTAAGGAATGGGATTGGACTATTAGTCCATCCAGATTAATAACCCGTTGTTTGGTTTAAAATTTTTACATCGGATTATTAGTCCCAAATCCATTGGACTATTGTGTCCCATAGGGAGGGGTGGGATACAAATGGAGGGATAAAGGGGATATAGGATTAGGTGGTGAAATTACTATTTTGACCCTCTGCTATTTAATTATGTATTATATTTGTAAAATTCAATCAAATTTAAATGTCTCAATTTAAAAATAAAATAAATTTATTTAATTTTTATTGATGTTTATTTATTTATTTTTAAAATAATTTTTTATAAATATTTTATTGATGTTTTATTTTAAAATTTTGTTTATATTTTATTTAATTTCATTATTTAAATTTTAATAGATGTTTTATTTAATTATTATTATTTTTTTAAATAAATTTATTTAAAATTTTAATTAAAAAATAACATATATTTTTATTGATATTTTATTTATTTAATTTAAAAAATAAATTTATTTAATGTTGTAAAAAATAAAATAAAATAAATTTTTATTTAATCTAGTTAAAAATAATTAAAATATTATGTTTAATATTGCTATTACTTAGTAAATAATTGAAAAGGGTAAAATAGTATTTGAACTTCATTTTTCTCTAAATAATATCCAAACAAAATAGGATTATATCCTATCCAACCAAATAGTCTTTTCCGGATATCGAATCTCATGACTAAATAAACATGGGATACAAATCCAGTCCAACCAAATAGTTCGGAGATAGTGTATCCCAAGATTAACAGTATGGTGGATTCCAATCCCTCCTTATCTAGTCCGTCTAAACAAACACACTCTTAATTACTTGTTTGGCTCGGTTCAATAAACCTAAAACTATGTAACAATACCAAACTATTTGAACTCGATTCAACAAAAGCATATTTGAGATTGGCTCAATAATTTAAAAAATCAAACTCAAATAAATTTTGAAACTCGTCAAATTTTTTAAATTAAATTGGAATAATTAACTGCTCTGTCAACCTATCACCCCTAAAAATTCATAGTACATACCAGGAGAAAATGAGGAAGCCCACTGCTAATGGCTTGTTAGCTGTTGCTCTTTGCAGATCTTGCTTTGAACAAATGCAAACGCACCCACCAAAGAAGTTAGCAATGGTGTGGGCAAGGCATAGAAGTACTAATGCAGCCAACCCTAGCTTGAATGCTTCATGGCTTGGCTCTCTGCAATCAAATATCCACACCCTCTGATTTTTCACCTGCCCAACACAAACCGTTTACATCAAAACTAACCATATACATTTATGATTTTCTATTTATATTTATAAAAAAAAATAAAAATTCTAAATAAATTTTTTTTTTGTATCTATTTTTATTTTTAAAAAAATGGTAAATAATTTAAAAAACGAAATTGGCTTGTCTTCGGTTCTCTAATTTATAAAATATGGGTTGGATTTGGGTTGGGTTTAAAGTGATGCGTTAGAGATGCGATATGACTTAAATAAAATGATGCGACTTAAATAGAACAGTAACTTTTTGACTTTTTTGAAACTTGTCAAACCAGTCCTAAGTGTAATTATATAATTTTATTGTGTTTATTTTTAAAAAAATAGATTTTATATTTTTAAAATTATATTTATCATTCATTTCCTAAAGACAAATAAACTAAAATTACAATGATAATTTATACACAACTACCTAAAAAATAAGTTGTTCACATTTTGTACAGACTGGAAACAACCTTAGTTCTTACAAATTTTACTAAATATAACAAAAATAAAAAAATACAAAGATATAGTATTTATTCATTTCCCCTCCCATCACCTCCGTCCACCACCCACCGCTGGCCACTAGATTCAACCACCACCAACCTTCGGCCACTACCACCACCAATCACCTCTCCGCCAATTGCCACCACAACTGCCACCACAACGACCACCTCCAGCAACCATCTTTAACCACCATCCACCCCACTCGTTTCCGCTTCCTTTTTTTTTTGCCAAAAATAAATATCAAAATATTTACCAAAAAAATTAACAAATAAACAATAAAATGCAAAGTTATCAAACGTGCACCTAAACATATAGTTTCATTGTTTTTTTTCATGGATGTGAGTTTCCAACACATACATATATATATATATATATACCTTGTTTTGAGTTATCTCAGCTTGAATGCCAAGTATGCCAGCAACAATGTCCAACATCATGATCAAGAGACAAACAACGGGGCCAATGTGCTTCGACATTTTAACGAATTCGGAGTTCTCTCGGACAGATCAGATGGTTGGGACGAAACAGAAGATTGGACACAACAAGTCATACATAAGGAAACAAAACAAGCACAAAAGGAATGAATTAAGGCATGCATGCATGCAAGATTATATCTCAAAGTCTTCTTTTCTTCTCATTCTTTTCTTTATTCTACTTTTGCTTTTCTAGATTTGGATTTCTTCCCTGAAGAACAAGCAAAGAAGGGTATCAAAAGAAAGTGGCGGCATTGATCCAACGGCTGGGATTGAGTTGTCATGTGCAAGACATGTCAGTTTTTCATCTATTATATAACATATACTTTAATAAAAGACATTGAAACAAATGTATAGTTTAAAGTGATAAAATATAACCATTTTTGATTCTGCGATAAAGTGATATTGGATGATAGTTCAAAGAGAAAAAGTGTGATTTATCTTATAGCTGAATGGTATTTTCGTCATAAAAATTCATATTACAAAAAATTAATAGCTGAAAGAGATTAAGGCCTCGTTTGGAAACAAGCTAATTTAGTAATTTTTTGATTATTTGGTTAAAGTATGAGCTAAAAAAAATTAATATGTTGGGATGACTTTTTAGCTTTTTATAAAAAGATGTGCAAAAAATACAGAGAAAAAAGAATCTTTGACTTTTTGGTATGGGCTGTTGGCTTTTTAATTTTTTTAGTGACTTTTTGACTAAAAAAGGCACTTGCCAAACGAGGCCTAAGGGTTGTTTTGGGTATGACTTATAAGATTACTTTTTTACTTATTACAAAAATACGTAAAAGTAAAAATAAAAATAAAAATAAAATTAAAAATGTGATGTGATCTAAATAAGCCAATAAATTGACTTTATTAGATATTGCCAAAAGAGGGCTAAGTGTTATAATTTGTAATTGAAGGAAGTAAGTGATAAAAGACAATAATTGAGAGGAAAAACTGTAATTTAAACCACACGAAGAATGTTTAGGTGCCGTTTGGTAACACTTACGTTTTCAGTTTTCTGTTTATATTTACAAAAATTTAAAAAACTCAAATAAAAACATATTTGGTAAAATTTAGATTTATAAATCAGTGGTCTCAGTTTATAAATTTAGCCAAAAAATGTGTTTCCGTTTTGAGTTTTGAGTTTTTTTTTTTTTTACCACCCAACACTAGCAAACTCAAAACGAAAACACATTTTTTGTATTTACATTTTTTTATCAAATTTATGAACTGAGACCACCGATTTATAAATCAAAAATTTACCAAACAAGTTTTTATTTGATTTTTTAAAATTTTTATAAATATAAACAGAAAATTAAAAACGTAAGGGTTGCCAAACGGTACCTTAACAGTTGTATTTTAATAAGTTAAAAAAGTGGTTGATAAAACTTTCTTAGTTTTCGGCTTATTTGTTCAGCCCAAAAATCAATTTTTTTTTTTCTTATTTAGAAGTTTTCCTACGGAGTATAAACCGCTAAAACTTATTGTTACAATAATTAATCATTCATGTGTTTAATTCAAAACATTGTTACTTAGACGCTACTCTATAATTTTGTCGGGTTCTTTCGTCCATCTGTTTGGAAAACGATAGAGGCATCACATTTATCACCGTATTTAATGTACAAATGTTAGACCTTAATGCTGTGTTTAGTTGGGGGATTTAGAAAGGAAAAAGAAAAAAGTGTGTGAAATTAGGTGAAATGTAGGTATATTTTATTTATATTTCAGCTAACTTTTTCTTTTTTCTTTCTAAATCCATTCTTAGATCCCTCAACCAAACACAATGTAAAATTTTTTTACACAACACTTGTATAAGTGTGAGATTTACATCATATGCATCTAGCATCATTAATCTGTTTTCTATTTGAAGGGTGGAGATATGGTTCTTAAAACAGTAGGACAAGTTTGGTAGCTTTAATCATTCCTATTTAAACAAGTGTGGCAATCCTTATCATCTGTTGACAATCTTTTTATGTTTTACTTTTGCCCTTTTTGATAACTCCAACATTAATTCAATGAAAAGGGACTGAGTGGAACATGTTATTCTTGTGGAACTCTTTAAATTAGTTTTGAACCGAGACGCTATTAGTTCTTCTAAAGCAGTGATTGATAGGTAGTCTTTTTATCTTCAATTTCTTTCCCAAAAGCAACAATATGGAAACATTGAAAATAGTACATTTGTCCTTTTTCAACCAAAAAGTTTTGGATAAATTACAAACTTTGTTTAAAATACAGATTAACTCTGTAATTTTAAAAATTATAAATAATTTTTTATTAGAATTTTTTATTTAATAGAAAAAATAAAATTCTTAATTATTTTTTTATACAGTAATAAAATGATCTAAATTATTAATTGAAATATAGTTATGATAACATTAAAAACTGTTAATTGACTTCATTATTTATCAATAAAGGGGATAATTTGTTATGCGATTTAAAACTTAAAGGGACGTGATGTAAGTTTCAGAACCACAATGAGCAATCTGTATGTTAAGCAAACTTTAGGGGGCTGTAATTGTAATTTACCAAGAAGTTTTTTTGGGGGGTAAATTACAGATATACTCTCTGAAGTTTGTTTAAAATATGATTTGTCCCATGTAGTTCTGAGAATTACATTATACCCCTTGAAGTTTCTAATTTCATAATAAATTGTGTTTTTTATTAATAAATTATTAAGTCAATTTACAAGTTTTAATGATGTCAAAAATATATTTCAATTTATAATTTAAGTAATTTTATCATTCTATAACCTAGAGCTATTTTTCAGTTATAGTTTTTATTTTTAGTATTTTAAAATTTTTAATTTTTCCATTTGTCTAGTCAAACCAAATACATTTTAATTTAACTATTTCAGTTAGACTTTATTTGGTTGGAAAATTTGAGAACATATTTGGAAAAGAAAAGAAAAGAAGTACATGAAATTAAGTAAAATATAGATATATTTTACTCATATTTCAACTAGATTTTGTCTTTTCTTATCAAATCCCTGATCAAACGCAGAGTTAAAGAAAATGTGCGTAAAAAGTATTCCGTGATCGTCCGGAGAAGCCTCTCTCTCTGCGTGCTTTTTTGCTTCAAAATTTCTCCTCTGATTCTTCATTTTTTAATTTGCCTGTCTAGTTCAAATTTTGAGGGCTTTCATTATTAAGTAATTAAATAGAGTGATTTTATTTATGTTGGTTTTTTGATGATCAGTAGTCTCACTTTGGAAATTAGCTCTGTAGAATCATCTCTGAATTTTCCAACTTTTTTTCTGAAACTCTGCTGAAATGAATCTGAATATTTTGGGTAATTCAGTTCTTTATTAGGACATTGTTTTGGTTTTAGAATAATGTCTCACTAGAAATTAAATGAATTATAATACCCTTTTGGTGCTTGATTGACATCCAATTTCTATGGCCTGGATCAATTTTGTATTTTCCATGAATTGAATTTTTAGATGTGGGGGAAGCACAAAGAAGCAAAAGTCAAACCATTACTTGAACAGAAATCAGAAACAAAAGAAGCCAAATCAGTTGGACAGAAATCAGAAACAAAAGAGGAAAGCGTAGCGGTGTACAATCAAAATGCTGGTCTGGTTTTTCTGTCTTTGGATGCTGCTAGTGCTATTCCTGGTAGATTTGTTGCTGCTGTAGAGTTGGCTTTGGTGCTGTGCTGTTGTGATGGTTTTGGTGTTGTTTTGATATACTTATGCTGTGTTTGGTTGAGGAATTTGAGGAGGGATTTGGAAAGAGAAATGAAAATGGTAGGTGAAATATGAAAAAAACATGCTTACATTTCACATAATTTCACACACCTTTTCCCTTTTCCTTTCCAAATCCCTCCCCAAATCCCCAAACCAAACACAGCGTTAGTGTTTGTTTGTCTTGGTTTTTGAAAACAAAGGATAGTTTGTTGGGTTGCCGCTGTGCTGTTTTGTTTTTGCCAATTGTTATTTTTCTTGGCTTTGGTTGGTTATTTGCCAACTCTGAATGGTGTGCTAGCAAGGGATTGGGCGGGCATATTGGTGCTAACATAGTTGGGATTGGTATGTCTCGTTATGATGCTTTTTGCATCCATCCTTTTTCCTTTCTTGATGTAATAAATTCTTTGTTCATCAATAAAAGTTTTTTTGCCGATCAAAAAAATAAAAAATAAAAAATAATTACAAGATGCAAGTGGAGCTCTAGTGTTTGGCATAGAAAAAAAAACTCTGACTTGCACCCATTTGCACTTTCATGACAACGTAATTATTTTGAATTATTTCTACTTGGACCATGTTTGAAGTATCAAATGCCAACACTTCTTCTGAGTGGTTCATAAAACAATATGGTCCCATGGTATATTTTGTTCTTTCAATAAACCCTTTTCATAGGGTAAGCCATTTGTCTATTTTCTCTCAATGTTTGTCACATTCATACTTATCATTGGCTGGGATTTTCAGGTGAACCTTTTTGTGGATCACTCTCAATTGATGGATCTGGAGTGCCTTGGAGGGCTCAACCTTGGTAAAGACCACGGATCTGTTCTTGGTTCTTTCTATTTTCATTTAACATATATAGTAACACCATTGAAACTTACTTAAAATTTAACTTTGAGCTTGCATTGTTGGCCTTCATTTTCTTTAAAATTTATCCGTTCTTGATTCTTCATATTTCGTTTTCTTTTACCTCAGTGATAAATGCAGGAATCGCAGATCCCAGAAAGAACAAAATTTAAGAATTCTAGTATATTGTTAAATATTATTCACGATACAAGCCCAAGATGGCTTACCATGTGATATATTTATATTACATAGCTTATTATTGTTGAGTTGGCTACAGATTCTGACCATGTGAAGGAAAGTAGCAGCCAGCTACATGGGGGGGAAGCCATGAGGCCATGTGAGTTGGCCATGAGGCCATGAAGCCTCAATCTGGAAAGCCACCGAAATGGGCTGGCAACCAGCTCAATTTCTCTTGCATTGTAATCTCTATATATAGAGAAGCTAAGGAGAGTTGAGATGTACAGCTGAGGGGTGTGAGCTTAGAGAGCAAAGAGAGAGAGAATTACAGAGAGTGTTGTAATTCTTACCATTTTGTTCAATATAGTGAATCCGCTGCCCGTGGACGTAGGCGACTTGCCGAACCACGTTAAATCTTGTGTGTTATTGCTTGTTTGAGTTCCCTGGTGTGCCCCCGATCCACAACAATTGGTATCA